TCATCACTTTTCACTCCAGTGCCTTCCAATTCCCCAATCTGCGTCTTTCACTTTGGTAAGTGGCTTCCGTCCAACAAGAAGTTCGTGTTCTCGCTTTCCTTACGAAATTATTTCGTCTCCCAACTCAGATATTGTAAAGTGAACTCATATGATTTTGTGTCCTGCTACATGTACTTTCCTCCATCACTGCAAGCCTATCTCTAACTAGCATATTCCCTGGATTTAGAGATTGTACTTGACCTGCTCCGTCAGCAGCAGCATGCTTCAGATTGTGAGCTTCTAATATCATCATGCATATACTACCGCCAGTCGAGGTCATTCCATATGGCGCGTAGAGCTCTGAAGGTGAAGGAAAAATTCTCGGGAAAATAAGAAACATCCACGAATGAGGATAAAAACGTCAGCTGTCTGTGTCCATGAGTGGACGACTTCTCTGTATCTGGAGCTAGGGAGATTCATGCATTGTTCCCCTTCAATGCTTTGAAGAGCGGAAGTGCTCCCCATTAATAAGGTCCAGCATCTGTAATCCGTTGTTGGATTTGGCTTGGTAATCCTGCAAGGCAGCCCGACCGCTTTCCTCTCTCTCTCTCTGCTCTGCTCTGGCTCTCCTCGAGGCTCAAGCATCAGAAAGAAAGCCTGTTCGAAGCTTTCAACTAGTTGTTCTGAACGACCAGTTGAATTACCACAATCGCGACTGTCCTAAACTCCGAACGACCTCCAGAGTATGATGATGCCGTTGTTCCTTATACGGAGTACGGTAATCTGGATCGAGCTCTCAGACCTCGGGCTAGCCTCCCACCTTCCGACTTCGGTCGGAAGAGCTAACACGATTGCACAGTACAGTTGACACGGACAATCCTGATTGCCCAAACGAGCGTGACGATCTCTAGCGGAAAGTGAACGAGAAAATCGTTGTTCAGTAAAATTGCGATTCTGGAAGAAGACAAACGGAAGAGGTCGCCCACTGAAGTACGTAGAGGATCTTCGAGTCGTAGGTTCTGAAGAAATTTTGACCAAAGCAGTCGAATGGATTGCAAAAAGTGTCATCGTGGCGAGGCGAGGCGAGGCGAGGAAAGTGGAAGGAAAGCGAGGTGAAATAGGAGAGATGATGCGGGTGGTCAGTGACTAAAGAAATATTATGTATCGTAACGGAATTGAGGTGAGCAGTTCGGTCACCTGAAGTCGAAAGTCGTAGTGGAATACAGTGCAGCTTGCACCATATTTATCATAAATACAAAACCCGTTATGCTTAGCTGTTACAGAGATAGTAAACTTTAAAGGTCTACAGCTCCCCAAAAAGACATGGTTTGACAACCAGCAGCAGAGTCTGCAGAGAGCTCGCTCTGCCTGTGCCTTCGGTTTATCTTCTCCATTCTCTTGCGCTGCACGCGTGCAACTATTGCCAACTTTCTAGAAACTGTTCTTGTTAGGGCCTCCGGCACTTTCTAAAAGGTTCTTGTTGTGTCACATTCTACAGAACATGCTAAGCATCGATTGCAAAACACCTCGTGGCTGGACTCTGGAGGAGAGCTGCACCTACGGTTCTACACTTGAAACAGTGCCTTCCGAGCTCAAAAACTTAATGCTCCTCGTCCACATCATTGGATCATGATTGCCCAAACGATTGTCCTCTGGAATGGGCTAAAGCCCATCAAATGATGAGATTAAAGGTTTTACCACAGTTGCCACTAAAACATACATACTTCTCGATTGCCCCAGATCCGAAATCCAGCTCACAAGCCTCCTCCACATCATGGGGGTAGGTATCCGTTATTTCTTGCGAATATCGGATGCGCATGATCTCCATTATTTGTCCAGGATGCTTATCCTGAATACCCGACATACATACGAATACACGTACACCATGAGTATTTGACACATGACGAGTTCACTGTATCAGCAGCACAACCACGCCAGATTTGTTGGGACCACATGTAAGGACTTGGCAGGAAATGGTACGCAATCTGCAGAGCACATTTCTGTTTGCTTAGTGGAGAACAGCAATCCTTCAGCTTGCCAGTGGACTGAGCAAAGGGAATTTGAAAATGATTTCTGAGGACGAGCCAAGTCACAACAAATGATTGACCTGTACAATCTGATTCGATGATGTGAGACTTTTGAAGCCGCATTCCTCCTTTGCAGAAATCAGTGCAGCAGTTAGCACGCCCTAAGTAGAGTAGTCATGTCTGAGAATGAATTGTTGGTTTTTACGCACCTGTTAGGGATAATTTACTCATCGACTTTCCTCACGTTTGACAGAGGAGGCAACTGATTGTTGCCGAAGAAGAAGGGTGAGCGCTTGGACTTGTGAAAACTCATGCCGCGTGCAGAGGACTACGTGTGATGAGGGAAGCATTAGAGACTTTGGCGCTTTTGAATCTCTAACTCGTCCAGGATGTCATTGAAAAGAGACTAAGTTTTGCCGCTGTCAAACTCATGGAACGCTTTTCCTCTTTCTTTATGTGGAATGCTCCACAATCATTCGACAAATGTGGAAGTAGTTTCCACCGAAAGTGGACAATAGCCCACGACACACACCCCGAGAATTATCATGAACTGCCTTCACGGTCGACATGCCATCTATGAACGAGGCAACATTTCTCCGGAGATGAAGTCTCGAGCGTGTGTACACGAGGAGGAGGATGTCGTCAGGTGTATGTACGATCCTGGTGGTATTCCAGATCACCGAAATCCACCATTGAAGTCGGACGATGGGCTCGCCGCGTACACTTGTTCGAGCGTGGTAACTGAATTTTCACGTTCCGTCTGCTGGAGCCGTTTACCGCCAATTTACCGCGGTAGCCCTCAATATGCTGGGAGCACCAATTGTGCCCGAGTATAGGGTGGCCTGTTCCCCTGCATTCTGGCCAAGGAATTGTGCTGGCGTGGGCGAGGATAACATATTTTATGCAGGAAAAGGCTTCTGGTCTACTGCAGGTGCAAGGGGCTGTCTGCCACCACCTTAAAGTAACCTCCATTAGACATGCAAAGATATAGTTTGAACGTTGACCAGATACTGCATCTCTGAGAAAATGAATATAGAATCTTGGCAATTCAATGCAGATCTTGACAATGTCAGGATCGCTTGCTTCTTTAGGCCCAAAAGCAGACAGGAATATGAGTCGGCACTCCGTACTTGCATTGCAACAGATGAGCCAGTTCATAGAATGTGAATTCATTGCCCTTTGTCGTACTGAGAGCGTAAGAGTTTCACTTGGACTGAATCAATCAATCAATCATTCCCCAAATGCTGTTGACGCATTCGTTCATGCCTTCAGGTATTAAGTGCAACGCAATTCTTCCTCTCCAGCAAAGGTGAAGTCGTTCGTACACGCTATGTTCCTCGCTTGTGCCAAACTTTTCCACAGTCCACAGATCTGCGTCCCAAGGCTCGTCTCTACCTGCATAGTCCGTCGCTCATTGCTTACCTGCCGGGTTCACGGAAAGTATTCACGACGAGTCCTGCGAAAAATATTACATGTTTGGAGACCCGTGCCATCAATTTGCTCCGGCGCTGCTTCAGTGTCTCGTACAGGATCAGCCTGTAGAGAGGGCTAGCTACTGCCACTTCAGTTAGTTAGAACAATGCAGCCAAGTTGAGAAATTCATTTTTCAACGATCAGATCGCAGGTTTTGTGGCCTGCGAGAGGAAATATTCGGAATCTTTCTTCAGGGCTCGGTCCGAAAGGACTTCGTTTGGGTCTGTCAGAAAGCAGTCAGTCAGAAAGCCCTGGCTTTCTTGAGATCAAACTTAAGGTGGCGAGGTGATGTTAGAGGAACTCAGGAGGGTTGAGGAGTCCAGACTTGGCACCCGTAGCCCTCGTCTGCGTGGAATTAGGAAGATAAGCACAGAGGTAGAATGGGATTAGCAGGATCGTATTAACTTAAATTACTGCTAATACAGAACAGAAGTGCAGCAACCACAAAAACAACAGACTTCGAGCGAAGTTGCACAAAGAGGAAAATTCCTAACGGTTCAGTGAATATAAAAACACGACAGCTGCTATGCTATGCACGCTAAAGGCACTGACAGGGATTCCTTGCTCGTCAGGTTACAGATTATCTGACTGCCGAGGACCTAGTGATTGGTGGCTGGCAGAAAGGGCTCACTGCTCACAAGGAATGTTAGATCAACGTCATATCTTGCTGGGATGTGGAGGACTTCCAATCAAAGCATTTGATTTGTCTTAAAAGGTTCCTAACTGCCTCGAAGAAGAAACGGAATCCTTTCCACAGATGTAAGAGGTGGTTCGGCCTCACGGACTCTCGCTGAGGCCAGGTGGCGTTCTTGCCGGAGAATCTCCACTGCGAAGGATATTCAGAGCCGCATGATCACGCAGTCCCCTCCCCACACAAGGGAAACCTGTGCTCTCTGGTTCAGGGTAGGACCGGTTCAGACACCAGGTCTGAACTGGTCCAGCTCAATCCCCACACCACACAGGTGCTCATATCTTCATCATAGACAATGGTTGCGGGACACTAATAGTAATGTCGTTTGTTCCTCATACGAGTGCAAGGATAGCAGCACCAGCAGCAGCAACAGCAGTAGCAGTGGTGATATATGGCTGGTAGTAAGCTATGAGCAGACAAGGGCGGCATACTACTGTGCGCAGTGTGCAACGCTGATTCAACAATCCTAGACCAGGTGAAATACCGCCTGCCACAACAGTGAGGGGTTTCTCGACCTCATGTCAACCTCGTGGCCCCCTGACCTACCAAATCAGCATACTTCGCATGATCTGGTGCGCAGGTTTCTAAAACTGTGGGTGGATGCAATGTACACTTGGTCACTTGAGCTTCAAATTCCATTTAACACAGTCCCGTCAACTGGGATGTATACATATAACCAGCGGAAGTCAATCTTGTGACTGACAACATTGTGCACTCGATCAGTTTTCTGACTGCCAGTCGCTTCCTACACCTACTTCCCGAGCTCTTTAGTTCACGATGGAGAATTTGTGGACATCCATCTCATAGCATCCCATACCACCGACTGACATAGTAAATTGGAAGAGTTTTTCACCAAGTTAGAGCACGAGAATCTTAGGCATCGAGGCCTGTATCACAAAGCGCGCAGAGAATATGTTTGCGGTGCTATGAGGCAAATACCGAGTCCATTGTATGAAAATGTGCCACGTTCCATTAACAAAGCACGATGTACGTACGAGTCGCGATGAGCTTTCTTTCATTCACAGGAAAGTCAATCGGCAGCAATTTCAGCATGTTTGCTTTTTGATTTGGGGAATTCCAGCTAGACGAGCGACGCGACTGAACAGACTGATTATGAACACGGGTTACAGTTTCTCAGAGCATGAGGGGTTTGCTGCACATGTACACAATTGCTGGTGTGGATGTGCCACCACCGCAAGCAAGCAAGCAAGCAGCACCAGTGATGGACGGAAAGGTGAAACTTTCAGAAGGCACTCGAAGTTTGGAAAAGCCCAGCGAAGCTGCTTTTACAGCTCGACGAGTCATATAAAATGAAATGGTTGATATGTGCTCAAGGACCGATGACATTGTTAACGAAAATGTCCTGAGGCTCGAGCTCGTCTACTATCTTGGGATTCTTGATCACCGGATGAGGTTGCTGCCATTCTGTGCTGGCCACGATTAGAGTTTGAGCTAGAGACGCAGGCGCAGTGAGCATGACTTCGTGGTCCCCATCCACCTTCACGACCCTGAAATTCGTTCCAAGCCTACTGGAGAACCCAGGGTGCCAGCCTTCGCCAAATTTCATTCCGGGAAGCCCCGGCAGGAAATCGTTGGTGATGTGAATGTACGTCATTGGAGTTTTGAGCTGATAAAAAGCTTTCAAATCATGACACTCCGAAAATGCCTGCCCTCCCTGCAATAGACACCACACGCAACAACAGCCACCGCACTCCTGTTAGTTCGAGACATTATGCTCTCAACGCAGGCAAGATGCATTCTCGTGTGTCGATCAGACAGACACATGCGAGACGAACTCACTCCTACAGCGTGCCAAGTCAGACACACGCGACGCACACACACGACTCCCGAAATTGCATCCAACTGTTGAGTGCCCCGCACGACTCAGCGGAATCCCGATCGAGCCAACACAATTCTCTACGGCTTGCCTGCGTTCCACAGCGTTACAATCTCCAGCAGGTGTCCTGGAAAAGTGTGTCTCGAACCGTACGACTTCTGCACAGCATGAAGGGCCCTTCACCAAGTGGCATCATCCCCTCCCATGCTCAATGGATCCGAAATGAATTCCCCTCAGTACTTCGACAGGTGACTGCGCAGGCGCAAGTCGAAAGGGCCGCCGACTGAGCGACGAGTCAATTATCCATCTAGCTACGAGAAGTCGGCCAGCTCGATCAGATGGCATGCCATGGGTAGAGTCTGGGAAGGGAGCGCTAAAATTACCTGGGAAACGAGGGTGGCATGGAGAGCTTTGCGCATCTCGGGGTCTACGGTGTGAGCGAACGCCTTATGCCACCACTCCAAAGGCAGTTTGCTGGGGAAAAGGAAGTTCTCGGGAGAGCGGTCGACTCTTTCGTGTTGGGGGATTCCTAGGCGATTATCCAAGCAGAACATGCGGATGTTTTCTCCATCTTTGAGGATGAATGCAGAAACGAAGACGACTTGCCTAACTCGGTGCGGCTCGAGCTGGACCAGCTCCTGCGCGTAGGGGCCTCCGGCACTGTGTGCAACCAGCACGAAGTCAGTGAGGTTCTTTTTCACAATGTCGTCCCTTAAGTGCTGGATTCTGTCCTTGAGCGAGTAGTTAATCCGCTCGGCTCCCGGCTCGTTGCCCAGCAACGTCGGAGCATAAGCCTTGTGCCCTGCGAGCTCCAATTCTCGTATTACTTCTTTCCAGTGCCCTCCGTGATGCCAGGCCCCGTGGATCAGCACAAATTGCAACCCCATATGCATCGGACACGGTCAACAGATTCGCTTTCTGTTGCGATGGTTTATGAATGATGTTCATTCATGGGATGGTGGATAGATAGTCCCTCGCCCTCGAGCTCCCCCGCAGAGCGACTTGGCGAGAGCAATCGGTCACAATTCAGGCAGAGCCTCGCCGCGACTAATATTCAGCAGCACTGTTCTGAATCCCGGACCATCCAAGGATCGATATCGATATGAAGAGACCGCGAGCAGTAACAGCACCGGCAGCGTAATAAGCTGCTTATCAACCAGCAGAGATGCTCGAAACTCACGACGATGAGCTACAGCCGGCTAGAACTCGCCGCTAGAAACTCACAATCCTCGTCCGAGCCAAAGGCATCAAGTGAGACAGCAGGCTTACTCGCACTGCAGCAGCCTCATAATCCACCTTCTTCAACTTGCAGCTGCCAAGTTGTCTACCCCTGATATTACTGTATCAATTGGCTCGTCAGGCAGCACTCGGATCTTCGGCGTGAGCCTCAACTTTGCAGCACGCTTTCGAGAATTCGGCAGCAGCGGCTTAAAACAAGGATATGCCGAGCCAGACGTGAGCTCGATTTGGCCGAAGACTGAGACCTGAGAATGTGTGTATGCCAATTTATTCTTTGGCGAGTCTGAGAGGCTGATAACGAGGCGAACGGGACTGAGGGGAGGGGAGGAAGGGAAGGGAAGGAAAAAGGGTACAGACCAGGAAATAAATAAAGTGATGAAATCATGAATTTCTCGCTGTTCATGAATATTCCCGCAAGCCCGGGCGGGCGGGCAGGCAGGCAGGCAGGCAGGCTAGCCTATCATGCACAAAGATTACGGGCCTTTAAGTGGGAGCCCCGTTCTCAGGCTTTTCGCAAAGCCTACCTAAAAATCAAAAAAATCTAACGTTTGGAACCAAAGATGCCACGAACATTCTCTTAGTCTGGGTCTGATGTCGTGTCCAGATGATCATGAGAGGCTGGATTAGGCATAAAGCTCCCGGACTCGTGTTTCGACAGGTTTCGGATCACGACTTACGTCAACTGGCCACTGATCTGTGGCTAAATCGCACTTAAGAAGCTGCATGAGGACAGAAAGTGAAAACAAAGTTACGTGGCTGGAAAGTTTGTGAATCCACTGTCACTCGGTTAACATGACTTATTCAACAGTGCGATCATATCTGCTGCTGCTGCTGTTCCTGCGCATGCCGCTGCTGTCGATTCTCGGGCCCAAGATGGAAGCCCTCCGTCTTCTCCCTTGTCGTCATCGACGAGCGATCGCGGCCACCACAACCACAACCGGCTGCGGCATCTTCTTCATCTTCTCCATCTCCCTCATCTCCTTCATCTTGCTCTTCCTTTGCGTGGAACGAAGCACTTTATTCTTATTTCATGAGCCCACGCGTACGAGGAGTCGTTCAGAAATAATCCATGAGCAGCTGCCACTGCTCATGGCCTCTTCGCACGCACACGCTAACCTCTGAAGCCTCTGGAAATTGCCTTGACGGACTTGACGTGACCGCGGTGTTTCTTTCGTGGGGCGTTTCCTCCTTCACCGGAGAATGAATGAATGAAGCGAATTCCAAATGCCAAATTCCAAACCAGAGCCCGACGACCGCCATCGGTGCTTCGGGAATAGCCCGAGAGAGATAACGGAGACAGTGAGTCAATAAGTCAGAGAATCGAGGCCCGCTCTTGGGGACAATGATTAGTCGCTGGAAATCATGACATGCCGGGACGTGGTGACTTTTGGGGAGAGCTCTGTTAGAGTGGAGGAGGGTGCGAAAGTAATAAACGCAGGAGGCGCAGGGAGGCATGAAGGTTTTCACTCGAGCGGCAAGGCGCCTTGCGAGAGAGAAATTACTGCATGAACAGGAGACGCGAGTCGCAGTCCATGTCAACGGGGACCGGGGGGGCGATAATAATTAAGTTTAGAGCGATTTAGAAACGATAAAAGAGCGACTGACATGTCGAGCGAGAGAAGGGCGCAACAAGCCATTTCGCAGGCTGGAGCTGCGAACTGCAAAATTCCCATTCTGTGGTCCGCCTTAGGCAGGGGTAGGATCCGCTATAAAAAGCTCGCTGGCCGTGCACACCTTCCAAGGATCTGGAACGATGTAGCTCTATCTTTGACAACATTTGTCCTACCGCACACGATGAACAGGAATCTTTGCAACAGGTGACGCCACTCTCCTTAACACGGCCCCATAGTTTATCCGTATTCATCCACATAAATCAGAGAATATGAACATGAAAAGAGAGCAGGCACAGTAAGTGCGCGCCTCTAATTGGCCGCTGTTCCATGCCCAGCGTGAGACTTGCCGATTGGACTTCAAGACCACGTGTGTCTTCCGCGGATGGAATTTATGCGTTGTGGATGATGAATCCCGACCACTCCACTGTGGCTCTTCCTCCCCCGAGCTCATCTCCGGCTACATGACAACGAGCTCGGTTTCTCGATTGCCAGCACCAGACGACAACCGAGCTCCTTCCTTCCTTCCTTCTCTCACTCTCCTCTCCTCTCCCCTGGCGTGGCCGATCTACTGTACTGCTCGCCGGGACGAGCGAGATCGAGACGAATTAACCGGATTGAGGTTTGACTGGTGAGGTTCGGGTCGGATCGGGTCGGCGGGTCGGAGGATGGTGATGGTGAGAATGATGGTGATGTGCAGCAGCAGCAGGCCGGATCCAGACGAGCTTGTGCGTCTACCTACCAACAGCTCGGCAGTGCGGGGAGCCCTACCGCGCTGCAAAGGGACAGATTAGTCACCAGCGGCAGCAGGTGAAGAGGGTGAGGGCGAAGACCATTTGATTCCAGCTCTTGGTCGTTGCATTTCGTCGCCCTCGATGGAACGCATGGTGGCTTCGACTAGCTAGCACGACTGTTCCCGGTCCCGATCCCGGGCCATGGTTCTTCATCGTCATCCGATTCCGTGCCTCGCATGCATGACATTTATTCACTCTCTCTCGCTCTCTCGCAAGCCCGGATCGGACTTGCGATGCAGCAGATCACGTCTGCTATGTGGAACACTGACTACCACTCCTACGGGGGATTTCTGACAAGCTGCGAGGCAGCAGCAGCGGCGGTGCGAGACCATGATGCCATGAGCATTTTGACCGGCGATCGGTCCACCTCCGCCCAATCGGCTGCCGTCACGCCGGCAGATCGTGTGCGCACCCGGGCGCTCGACGGAACGAGGGCGAACATGGTCGATCACAGCGTCCACCGAGGTGGGGGCGGGCGGGCGAGAGGTCTCAGCTCCCACCAGCACCATCTCCATCTCGCACCCCGCCTCTGGAATTTCACTCGCTTCGTTCACTGTTGCAGGCCGAGCGCCACCCAGCGCAATCGCCTCCACTCCTCCCCATGAATCTCCAGCACCAACCCCCCGGCCATACCCAACCCGACCCACCCCTCCCGGCTCCATCCGATTCCCTCGACTGCTCGTCGCCATAGCACGCACGCTCGCTCACTCGCTCGCTCGCTCCTCCTCCTCCTCCTCATGCAACGCGATCCAAGTGAAAAGTCGAATCCCTCTCTACGTGTTAGTCGTCCGAGGGAGGGAGGGGAGGGTCTTTCCTTCTCCTCTCTCTCTCTCCCTCTCGCTCGCCATTTCCACGCGATCGAGTGACATTGCCCCGAAATGAGCCCAGATCTACACGGATCACGAATGTGCATGAATGTGATCTTAAATCCTCGTGTTAGTACAAGAGTAATTAAGTGCTGGGCATTTTGGAGGAAAGCAAAGGATGATGCATCGAAATATGCTGCAGCTCCAAATATTAATCATGCATATTTTCAGGAAGTTGCATGGAGGGGTCACTCACTCACGTCTTTAGTGCGTGGGGCTTTCACCTCAAGGGCTCGCAGCTCCAGCCTCCACTTATTGCGACGAATTCTTCGTAATCAGTGGTCATCCCTCAGCTAAAGAATAACAGACTTTGATTGTAAATTATCTCGTACGAACATATCACTTTGATCGTGAGTTTCATTGAGGTGGAATGGGAAAATGATTGTCGTGTCAGCATATTTAAAAAATATGCTGAATTTTATCTTGGCATACAACATTTTCCATTCTCCAAAACCTCGACAGAGATCGATGCGATATCTTCTTCTTCAGTGAAAACAAACCCTATCATAGACAGGCGTATAGAGTTTCACCACCCAGACGTGGATGCGTAACCCGCCAATTTTTGGTTCACGTCCAAAGTTTCATACTATAATATTTCATGGATTCTAAATCTGAGTCGAGAATGATACAAAGTCCATTGTTTTCTAGCCAGCAAAAGCTTCTGTGTCGCGAATCGCGAATCGCCATCTACTTCTCACTTCGGGTAACTTGTAGTCAGCTTGCGCACGTGGATACAGTTCCGTAACTCTGCCGCAGTAAACATGGGGAATTTCCTCCGTTTCTCGTTAGCCTTTACTGTGACTTTCTGATTACCGTGGCATACTCTGTCAATGACGGCGTAGGCAGAGAAGTACGCGGTACGGAAGTGGCGAATATGGCGCGGACGGAAAGTGAAGTAAGGGTCGGCCGGAAATGATGGTCAAGCTTTGCGTAATATTAAAGCCTTTTGGAGCATGCCACAGTTCAATGTTTCCAGGTGGGTCAAAATTGGGTACAAGTTCGTTGAGATATCGCGATACTACGAGGTTTATAAAACAAGTTGTAATCGATAGGAATGACTCATGTCCATTCAAATGCTGTAGAAAAACGGGTGAAAGTATTGTAAATTTTACAGGATAACATATTTTGTAGGGTCTAATACTTTAGGAATGTGAAGCCGATTATACGTTTCCAATTTTGCCTAAAGTTGCCTAGAGATCTTTTAAGGCCCATATATCTGTACAAATAGGTAGGAGTATAAAAACATTCCTCTTCAACTTGACGCAGTGTTTGGAATCCCTCTAGAGCAATGGACCTTTCAGCATGTATGGAAATACTCTTAGTACTTTTAAGTGATTAAGTTGATGAACATGAAGGTAGAAATGGAAGGGATCTTTTACATGTTTTATTGATTTGTGCACATTTATCACCCACTTGGCTCAACTACTTGGCAATAGTATCCTTAGTTGCCAAAACTTGAGGATGCTGACTTTCTGCCCCCACGCTCTCAGGATAGGTTTGTTGTTTATTTCATTTCTCCAGTCTGGATTTATATGAAACGGAAAGCCTAGGTAGCGTGTATTCTTCATGGGAAGGAGACATACAGTCTACGTTAAGAAAGATCTTAAATTAAAACCCGCCTAAAATATCAATACTTTGTTTGCTGTCTATTTTTTAGTCTTTGTTGACTTCTATACGACTTTTTTTGTCAATTTGATATCGGATGAGTATCCTTGTTTTTGGCTAATTTTCTGAGATAGATTGTGAAGCTTTGATCAATCCAGCAAAACGGATGGTTATATTACATCATGCTATAAAAGTATGGCATCAAACAGATACCACTTGGTTCGTATTAAATAACATTTCAATGAAAAATTTATCTCATTGCACCTGATTGGTTTGAGTTAACTCATGATAGTTTGACTCTAGTTAGTGAAGTTGGTTAAACTATCACTACATAATGACATTCGCGAAAGCCTTCGGTGATATTTTATAGTTTTAGCTGTAATAAACTTTATATTTTTGTGAATGTAGCCACAATGGCAAATCACATATATCCTTTGTGCGAGCATGTAACGACGAGTCTGTAAGCTCAACGTTTAGGAATTGACACTAACATGATCAAAGACCTCGATTTTCAAATAATATGAAAAATAGAATAATCAATAATTATATATATATATATATATATGATCTTTTATCAATGAATGAATTTTACGAAACATATAAAGTCATAAATTGTTAGTGGTGATATTCTTGCTTTTGTAAAGCTATCTCAAACTATCTTACAAGCATTTTAGCATCCATAATTACATACAAATATAATTTAAGAATAACAAGGAGACTTTTGTTTTGCATAAACTTAAACATTTGGAATTTGAATATCATTACTTTACTTGCAATCAATCAAAAACGGTAAATCAGTTAGAATCATTAATTTTTTTTAAACATTTCTACCTTTAAAGTTCAATAATCATTGCATTTGCAACAACACTTGATGATCCTATGTAAAATACAATATTAATTTACATCTAATGAATTTTCAGATGAACCATCACTAATTCATATGAGATTTGCATCTCTATTTCATCATATAAAACATGACATTCATATAAAAATCTTAGAAATTTATCTATATTTTTTAAATAAGAAAAATATTTTAACACACAATAAAATAAGGGGAATGTTTAAAAGACCACACAAATGGTTAAAACCACCACACTGAAATCAAAGACGCGTCTCGTGGTCACATGACTTGTCAAAACAAATTTTTTTTCCCGCACAAGTCCAAGTATGAGTTGTGAGTGTGTTTTTGGCTCTCCCACTCCTTCCTGAGTAAAAAACATTGTCAGAGGTGATACTTCCATGGACACTGCCATTGCCCTACAACAAAGGATTGACGAGCTCAGATTGATGAAGACCACATGAAGAATGTTCGATTACAAGCAATTGCACTTCTAGCTCTTCAAGATGTGGTCGTTTTAACATTTTCTAAAATAACATAGTACCAAAATGCGAATATTGAAGATTTATTTCGTTGATCTAGCCAATAAAAAACTTATTTGAATCACATTCTTCATTCAAAAGATAAAAATGATGAAGAATATGACAATTTAAAAAAAATCAAAAAATAAAAAGGCAATAAATCTATATACATACTTCTTTATTTAAATAAATTTGACATGCCAATCATAGTTATTTTTATATTTTAATTATTAGTGACAAGCCTATGATACAAGTTGTTAATTAATCCAAAAAAATGAAATGTTGGTAGATTAGAAAAAGAGTAAAAATAAAGATGTATTTATGGACATAGAGTTTAACATCATATGATTTCAAATGCCATATATATATATATATACATATATACATGCAATATTTAATTGATAGGTGAAACATCTTTATATCAAGAGATTAAGATATCATCATATTACATTTACAATATGAAACTTCTTAACTCGCTTGGTGTCTTACAAATATTACCTGCTATACACTCTCTATCATAGACATGCTACTCACACAACACAATGCTAAAAAATATCAAATATCAAAACACATGACATTTTAAAACTTGGTAAAGTTGAAGATTAATATTATTATTACTTATGATATGCAATGATAAAACATATGATAGATATAATAAATCCAAAAATTAAACAAGTTCTTTTTTCATGTATTGAAAAAACGAAAATGAAGTTTTATAAAATTGATTTAAATGATTCATTTAGATATCAAATATTTTTTTAAAAATTTCATTTAAATCTATTAAGCTCCATTGGACAGAGTTGAGAATTTTAAAAATAGATATTTTTAAATATTATTGCAAGAAAATAATTGTATATTTGTAACTATTTAAACATTTGATTATAATAAAATAAATTTCGATAATAGGATGATTGTCTATATCGCCGCACTGTGTTTCTTTTATTATCTGTTGGTTGTGTGGATTTTGAGTTCGAGAATCTGCATGTAAATTATAATTAAAATATTAAAATAGTAGCAAAAAGCAGAGAAATATTTTGATGGCGTACAAATTTTATTTTCAATACATTGTTGATGTTTAACCCGGTTTCGGGTTAACTCCTGGTTAGCAAACTGTTCCTAGGTGTCAAGTTAGCTGTCGGTAAATACCTCAACAATCATGAGTTTATTTGTACTAGATAGGTGGAATAGAAATAAATGTGAAGATTAAAATTAACATAACATCACAATAACTAAATATGGTTACCATGCTTGACAAGATGATGGTCATAAAAAATCCAAGATATGAATCAAAGAAAGATTGTTAAATTCATAACTAAGACTTTGGATAAATCTTATTACTGTGATAATATTTGATTAGATTAGGGTTGCAAAAATATAAACATAAGCTACGGTTATATGGTGTATGAAGCAGATAAGCTTTGCTTTTAAAGTTTTGGTATGGTCAACTTTCTTTTACTTTACAATTGCTCCAAATTAAGTCCACGATACTCCTCCAAATCAATTGCAAGTGATGTAAGGTGAACTCTGTAATATATGGTTTATATGCATGAAGTCTTATCTGGTCAACATCTATAGTCTATCATCATCATCTCTCATCTATATCTATCATCAATACACTAACTTGTCTGCTTAAATTCGAAGATTTTATCAATATATAACTGCATTTTGATAAACTTGTAATTTATTGAAAAGACACAGCGTTCAGTATATAATGATGTATACTCTACTTTCGTATTTTTAAGAAACATAATCTAAGATAAATCATCTCGTCTTAGACATTTAAACAAATCATTGTGCTTATGAGAAACTTATTTTGTTTTCAATTTTTTTGGACTAGTTATCCACAATGAAAATTTCTAATATATTTAATACATTTTCTCTGAAGTGGACTGATACGAAAAATATAAATCCATGAAAAGTGAAACCCATCAAATTATTACAAGAATTCAAGTTATATTATAATTTGAATTCATATAATATACAAAACTTGATTGTTGATGTCTCACATGGTATTTCAGAAATAATGGGGAAACATATCAGCGCTTCTGACATGGATGAAATCATAGGAGCAAAATGTTGCCAGACCCCAATAGCAAGAACCCAGAAGTTTGATAAATTAGTGTGTTTTTGTTTTCTGGACTCGTTAAATTAAGAACTCTAGGACAGTGGACGCAGATACATAGTTCAGTAGTTCTTCAGTGTGCACAGAACGGAAGAACATTCTCACGTCAAAAGGCCGGAAAAGGAAATCCGGCCGCAATACGTGTCTCGGCAGCGAGGCTAACGCGGCGCTGTTGGTTCCAAGTACTCTGTACTGCCTATCCAGATGTACACAAATTCGGAATCAGAACGAATATTTCGGCCTTTCGGTGCAGAGTGACACCTATACCGCCCACGGGAAAACTATGTCGAGCCCCTTCCGACGTGGTGGGTGACCACGACGACACGTGGACAGACGGGTAACTACAGTTACTGATCCCGGGGCCTTGCTTGCCCGTGAAACGGTTGGCATCAAAAGGTCTCGGAGCAGTTGGGGGACGAGGAATTCAACAGTTCGAAAGGCCCGGCGAAAAGTCGGGCCCAGCGCGAGCCAGCGAGCTAGGGAGGGCCTGCAAAAGCAAAGCAACGCAAAGCTCTGGAGCTCCTGGTTCGCATTATCCTACGCAGGGTCCTACTTGCGCTCACTAGTCGTCATGTGACGACATGCAAGCCCGGCAAATGCAATTTGTTCCATCACGAGAGGGACATAACTCGCTTGCTTGCTTGTGTGCGAGGACGGGGTTTTGTTTTTGGCTCGAAAGGAACGGATTTGCGTAGCAGGGTCTGGTGTTTCGAGGAAGTCCACGACAGGACCAGCTATTGGCCCCGCATTAAATAATATGATGCATGTTTGTGACCATTTTCGGGAGCAAATGATTTCCAGCCCCTCCCTCCCCAGCCCTTCATTCGTCTTCAGAGCAAATGGTGCAAAGTGTGTTCAGATCGTCGTTCAGGTTTCGTTCAGACCATCGCCGGGTGCAGTCGGGATTCATGCTCACGGAAGTCCTTGTGATCGGTCCCATGCCAAACTCGAAGCCCTTTCTGTTGAGCTAATAAGACCACGTGCCACCACAAATTCGTCCTGAGCAATGCACACACACGTAACGTAGCGAGAGCCTTAGGTGTTTGTCAGCTATGAAGGACATTGACATGCTTGTTGGGAAGGTCGAGTACTCAACTGGCTAGCAGGAGGCAGGCAGGCAGGCAGGGAGGGAGGGAGGCAGGGAGGCAGGCAGAGGCAGAGGCAGGCAGGGCGGGCAGGATAGGCAGGCTACTACTAATGAGCAGGTCAATCGCCCAAAAGCCGAAAAGATATGGTTCTAATCATACTCCAAAAGGTGGAAAGGAGCTTAAATATAACACTCGCCATGTAGTACGCCGGGCGAGAGCTTAGGGATGGACGACTAGGTAGGCCTAGTGATGGCGGATATATATATCTTTGCATCGATTCCAACAAGTGTGGACTGGAGGCGTGGCTGTAGCGCAGGGTGTGAGGGTTCTTTCGCGGTAGGACATGATACAGCGATAATGATGATGGTGATGATGGCGATGATGATATTCATTTGGGCTGCAGCTGCTGCTGCTGCTACTTTATGTTGGAGGAATTTCAGATAGTTGTCCGAAGAAACCTGTTTGGTGCTGTGCTGTGCGGTGCGACTCGTGGCTCGGAAGGTCGTCCGAACAACTTTTGCAGCTCGAGTACTTTGAGGACGATATCTTTCATGCATATCAAGAAAGCGCGGCGTTCTCTCACACGAGGCTGCCATTAGTTCTTTCGCTGCGATCGGACAGAGGGCAAAACAAAGCGCTTCCGAGGATCCGGAGGAGCAACAAATTCGTGCTCAACAGAATCGCGTGTCCACACGTCGTCGGGGCCCTCGATCATTAATCTATTTGGCCCGAATACTGTAACACCCTGCGCTTTCGTTCTCCCGTCAATCATACGAAGCGGAAACTAATAATTTGACCGAGCCGAGGCACCTTTTGGTATTGAATGGCCCATCTCAGTCACCGATGATGACTGCTCCATGGATAGAATGACGAACAGGCCGGGGCTTGCAATCATCAACGTGGACCCTCATACGGATGAGTTGCCAAACCTCGCGCTCGCTGCTTTAGGCGTACCCAATGCTTTCTTGACTTTTGGAACCCTTGCGTTTGGCAGCTCTCGATGCAAGCGTCCTCGATCGCTCTGAGTAGAGTCCGCCATACATGAATGTCCGTCCCGATCCTTGACTCGAGCAGAGAGCGAGCTAGCTAGCTAGCTAGCCTAAGACGGCCAGAAAGATCATCACATACATCGGACGAGGAGCTGCTGCAGTGAAGTTCGAGGAAATTGGCCATGATGGCTTGCCAAGGAGCGCGAGCTCGTTCGGAGGTTTGCTGCAGGTTCGAGAAATCCGAGTCAGAGTCTACGGGTTGTTAGATACTACGAGCTCATGCATACAAACCGTACGCACTCCCTCGAGTCCGTCGAGTCAACAGATCGAGGTCTGATCAGGACAAGGCGACGGAGTTGTTGTCCACTCCGGTCTGATCTTCTTCGCCGATTGAGACGCAAGCTCACGGAGAGATGGCCCTCTGCTTCTTCTCTCACGGAAGGAATTGGGAAGGGGGGCAGGCAGCAGCAGCAGCAGCAGGTCGATTTTGTTCTCCTTCTGTGCCAGCGTGCGTCCCTCCCTCCCTCCCTCCCTCGCGTGGAGGGCCCCGACGGGTCCCACCTTTCTAAATTCGCAGCTCGGACTGTACATGTCGAGGTGGATGAAGCAAATCTAAAACGAACGAGAAACGAAAGGTCGAGACCTTCCATCCATCCAAGCATCCATCCGGGGGCTGGCTGAATCCCACTTCGCCATGTGCAAAACATGGCGGAGTTGGATTCGGGGCTACCGAGAAAGAATTGCGTGTGTACCAGCGCGAATGGCAAGGACCCCAGCCCCAGCTCAGCTCAGCTCAGCTCTGGAGCCCGAGCTCAAACACGCACTCATTCCCCGGGCACTTGGTTCGCAACGAAGCTCGAAAAGGCGTGGCAGCAGAGTTCGGAGTGCCCATCGGACATCGTCGCATCCTGCTGCGGCCAAAGTCGCTTGTCATGTACGCCCAGGTTTGAGCTCGGTAGATTGCGATGCTCGATCGGAATTCTGTAGGTCTTTGTTGTGACCCGGGTGGGTAAATGATTTGCCGAGTGCAGCAGATCTCGAAAGCTTTTTGAGCCCAGCAAAATCTTGACGTTTCCTGCGGCGACTACCGACGAGCGTCATGTGGCCTCGCAACTGTACATTGGCCCCGGAGAAGAATGAACCAGAAACCCACAAATCAAACAAGAGCCAGAGGATCGGTTTCGCTCGGAGATGCTACACTATGCTCCGAGCTAGGCCTCGGATGGAAGGAAGGCAGTGTCTGAGACTCGCCTTTGTAAGATTGTATACCATGCGCGGATCGATGGATGGTGTACGAGCCAGATAGAGCCTAGCCCATGCACTGACTAGCTCGGTAACCATCTCCAAATTTCTTATTCGTTCATGGAGCCGACTGCCCGGTCTGGAGACGTGGAAAGGTCCGAATTACTCGAGATCGAGCATCTGACCCGAGCATGAAGAGGATCACGCAAGCACTGATTCGACAGTAGCCCCCAACATTCGTCGAGTCTGGTCTTTAAATCTGGGTAGGGAGGAAGGGACGAACCACCAGCCTGGGAAGAATTGATGACCCACCAGCATGCACCTCCCTACGGAATTTCCCACCTAATCCTAGGCTGCTGTGAATAGTCTGCAGCATCTGCAGAACAATTGCAGGTGCGTCTCCAAGATGTTCGTGTACAGATCTGAGTTGTTGCAAGCTCTGTATCAATCCAGTGCTGTCTGTCTGGTATTACTACGCCGCTCATTACGCTTGAATATCTTCGAGTCGAGACATTCGGATGGTCTCTCGGTTCTTCGAATGCCATACACCACGGCGAAACCTCTGCCACCAAAGCGCCACAACTGTCGATTCTTCGATTCATGGCGTTCTACGGTTGGATCGCCACGCCAGTACCTCTCTGCCATACCAGTTGTCTTGCGACTTCTCACCCCAGAGATTTTGTTCGCTGACCCCAGTGACGACCTTCATGGTCAATACTGGAGCCGCTTCGTAGGTCGGTGATCATTGATCTTAAAATCCGATCTTCAATCCTGCTATCAAGGAATTATATCTCATTCCCGTACGGCTGCAGAAAACGCATCGCGCCTTTATGTCCCATGTCCAGTTCAGAGGGCTAGAAAAGCCATGAAAATTCTGAAACAAATTGACTGCTAGCAAATGGATTACAATCTGAGCTGAGCTGAGCTGTCTACCTTGAGGTAACACTAGTTTGGTACAGTTACCGTAGTAGCTTGCGGGGTGTGTCAACAAATGGCTTACGGTGTGGCGTACAACATAAATTCGGTGGCGTAAAAGGCTCAATATGTACTACGTCGTGTGCTGTGGGAGTCCAGTTGGACGATAATTGTTGCAGAAAATGTGGCTTGAACTTCAGAGGATCACTTGGAACAATGTTTTGGAAAACTCAGACTTGTGAAGATAAGTGGCGGACAGCTTATGGGCGAGGCCGTGGGCCTGCCCATAAGCGTTATACAATCTCTGATTTGTTTAAAATATACCAATGACACCAGAAAGACATTGAGAGCTGAGGGTCTTCCTTAATGTTTCTTCTACTCTTAGAGTGAGATAGATTGAAAAGATACACGGTTTTCTTCAAAAATTGCAACAATCATAAAACGAATGGTATGTTTCCATCTGAAGAGACCTTGTCTGATAATTACTTAATTACATCATTGAGACTACTGTTAGCAGGAAGACAGGGGAGTGTTGGCCCATTGAACACTATATTGTCTGACCTTTCCTCAGCTGCAGCTCAGTTGGGTGCAATGTGTCACAGGGAATGTGCACTTACAGGAGTCTGGATTCGAACATCTGTCATGATGTCCATTAACTGGGTGCCTCGTCTTATCCACGTATGCTCTAGCGTGTCTCATGTCTTGCATGTTGTCTCGTTTTCGTCTCATCTTAAACAAACTTCTTTCAATAACGCATCATCACGCCCACGCGTGACCTCCAGTAATTGATTTGACCTCCTATGTGAACTAAGTCAGATAGATTGACTTCTTTCACACACGAAGTAGTTTCACGTGAATCCTCCTCAAGGTCACACGTAGCGTGCGTGCTTTTATGATGAATATTCCACATGCAACATGACAAACTTTTATTAAAAAAAATTTCAAACCGAAGTGTTCGATGATTGCCTTTTCCAGACCAATTCCGAAATTGGATGCAGATTCATATTCCTTCGAAAACTTCCAAAAGTTTCATACTTTTGTCCAGTAAGGAACTGAACAAGATGTCATTGTTCTTCAAAGTTTCTCTCTCCGGGTTTCACAGATTTTGCTTCGGGTCATTGGGTCTTGTTTTTGTAAACCTTGTCCAGGATGCTTGTGTCAAGATTCTCTTTGTTTTGGATCTCGATCAGTCAAAATCCCTTCTCCCGGTATCGTAGAGAAGATCTTGAACAGGCTACCCTCACATTGTCCGTCTGAAAATTTGTTTCTTTTTCATTTATATCGAACAACTTCTTTTATCTCGTATGAATCCTTGGTGTACTTCCATCGATGCAACCTGTGCGTCAGGAGCAATTTTAAGTTTTGATTTAAATTTTTAAGGCTATTTGTTGATGTCATCTTCACAAAAGTGTGCATAATTTCTGAAATGAAATTGGTGATAAAACTCTTATTCTGCATAAAAAAAACAAATCATTTACAGATCATTTCAATGTGAACCTTGGAATTCGCAAATGCCTCTGCTCATGTGACACTACTGCTGTACAAATTTGGACTTTACCCTCATGAATAATTTGAAAATCACCAGGCAACATGTACGGCCTCGTTTTTGCTTGCATCCTGAGGCATGTTTTCGATGGTTTTGGTCATCCTGATGACCCCCCTTCCATGTAAGGCATTGTGAATAAGAAGAGGAAAAGTTGAGATGGACACTGACGAAATGTAGCTCTGCAGTGGGTGAACGCGAGTAATTACGGTCGCTGTCAGGGAGTTGAAAACTGCGAATGTACCGTGTCCTAAAAAAGGACGATTATAGGCTGTCTCTGTGTCAGTAGAGGACAATTTATGGGGCTAAGCACGAGTAGCAACAAAACAGGGAAAGAGAGGCATGTGCCTGGAGCGCTTCTTGTCTGTGTCAACACTGTCCACTACAAGTATGGACGATGTTGTATCAGGCGTCCTCACGTGAAGCAGATACAGAGTGCGAGAGGCGGATCTGGATAAGCTCATGTCAGAAGTCCTTCGATGAAACTTTACAAAGTAGACTTCTGCAGAGCATCGTTCAAAATAGCTACACATTCGTCGCTTGTGACATGGAAGCATCTTGATGATTTATCAACTTATCCTAAAGTTTCATGGAGATGATTCTCTGCAGACCTTGATTCTCCACATCGTTCTTCCTTTCATGCCTTCTGGAATCAGAGCTCCTACTTTCACCTCCTGACCATTGCTAAATGCCTCTCGAACTCAGACATATCTTTATGGGTTTTGTCATCAATAGTAAAGAAATTAACATCACTCTTGATCCACGATGGAATCTTCTGAATCCAGTTTCCGATAAGTAAAACCAAAGTGCAGGTTTGGGACCTTTGCATACCAGATGACAGATTCTGTATATGATTTCGAGCAAGGTGTCCAAGCCGATGTGATTTTATGTGGGCGTTGAAGAGGAAGTGTCAGCCAATCATTTTGTATAGTGCCCACTTCATCATCACTATATCAGTTCGAAACTTCAAACTGTGGCAGAATTATCTACATAAAATGCCCCGAGTACGTATCTGGTCGTCGAAAATTTAAGGCGTATGTTGAACTCTGAATGTTTCTGTAAATATCAGCTTCGTAGTGGCCAGTTTACAGCGGCCAAAAAGTGAGTAGCTGTACAGCTCGACTTCATCGCCACCATAATACTGTGTCGTTGAATGTTATATCTTCAATACGTAGAACTGCCTGAAGCACCTCTACGTAGACTGACAACCAGAAGGTTAAGAGTCGGAAGCTTTATAGTGGTAGCATTCAAGAGGAATATAATTTGATATCAGCATTAATCAGTGGTCTCGTGACAAGTGTTCAACTTGGCTTGGAAGCACCAACTCATGGATACATAAAGATTCCAATCATTCAAATGAAACTGCTTCCATGTGGAGCCGGGAACCTGAAAAGACAGGACGAAATCAACTATCAAACAGATTTCAGGAAGACCCTGTGTAGGTGCCACTCAGCCTTCTAAACTACAGTGAGTTGACAAGGTTCATGTGCTCTACTCATTTGATACTGCTGTAGAATGTCAGACTGTAGCGGTGATGTCTAGCTGATATTGACACATGTTTGATGCAACGGAGTATATAGACGGGCTTACTTAGGCCTCTAGAAATGGTGATGCCTTCTGAAAATTGAGGTGAGTGTGCTGAGTTCCAGTGCCGTTTGGTGATGAAGATTGTTTGGATGTACAGTGATACACTCAACTTTTCTACAGCTTCCACGTTCTCTTACATTTATCATAATTCTATACTCAGCCATATGACCTCTCTGATGGCCTTCTGTAGGATGATTACCACACAGGTTACAGGTATGAAAGGTAACCCTCAGGAGTAACTCTTAGGAGTTCTCCTAAGGGTTACAGCAATCGAATCAGGGCAGTGTGACAAGAGCATCAATCCCATTCCGCACATTGACGACGGTGACTGGACTTTGCACCCTGCTTAGAAGGTTGACTCACGCCAGAACTACTTTACTGTGTGAAAGTGCCCAGCATTGTGCACTGAAACTTGCAATTGTCTTTGAACCGTATCACAGTATCTCAGTGGGATTCGATACACTTTAATTATATACTAAATATACCGAGTCGTCAAAGTTTAGAATCCAGTTTTTCTAGAGAACAGATAAGTGGCCCGAATGAAATGAACAGAAAACGAGCTGGGAATGTGAGCCAGATATGCTAAGTAATATCTAATCGGAAAACCTTTAGGTGTCGATCTATTCAGTTGATCCATGCTCAAATTGTACAGAAGCTGCGATTAACAAGTGTCAGTGGTAAACTGACAGACGGCAGTTGGAGCCTTGAAGTAAAAGTTTGGATCTCACAAGCTTCGGTTCAATTTGAACCAAAGATTCTATCTATTTAAAACATTATGTCTGATTTCTTCTGTTCGGTAATATAAATCTTGTACTCTAGCTCTGCACTATCTGAAGGGCACTTAATGCTTTAAAATGAAGTCATCGAGTGCAAGTTTTGTGTGAAGACTCTCGAGCTGTTCACCTGGACTATGTGTGAGTGTTTGCAGGAGAAGAAATAGAGTGTTCTGTCAGTTCCAAGAATTGGAGGGTCAAGCTTATTTGCAGTGAGCCTAGTTCGTGATGACAGACTTGGCTGAGAGTTTGCACGTCTTCTTGTCTCGTTAGAAACGACTATGCAGGTTTTCAAATCGATTTAGGCTAATCGTCCGCAGTTACGAGAGCTGAAACTTAGGCATGAGGACTCTACACATGGAGACGAAGTACCAGAGATTACAACAGCTTACATTCCCAAGAATCGCGTATTTACATGAATGTTCATCTCCGAAAGCAATTTATAGTCATGCGATGACGAAGCGATGACGCTAAATCAGAATCAGCCATCGAGAACTAGGAGCCAACTCTAAACTCGAAACTCGAACGTCCAAAGAAAGGAATGATACCGATTGTGAGTTCAGCTATTTGGCACATTGTGTGCAGTGTACTGTGTCGTCTCAAACTTAGGTTAGATGGCAAATTGAGCCCCTTGTTACTGTTGCCTTGATCACACATGGTCTAAGAAAGTATTTAATAGCCTAAGGTAGGACAGTCGAAATGAGGGACCTCGTCACGAAGCATGTGGAGCTTTTGTGCACCACTGAAACCCTGTCACTGGACTGTAGAGAACGACACCGAGGGCTTTAAAGCATAAAGTCCTTTTTAATCGAGGACAATCGGAGTTGTTCGTATTTGAATTAGTCAAAGGGAGTCAACTTCCAACATATATTCTCCTGTATCTAGCGGTTTGTTGTATTAGAGGCCAAGATTCCAAGAGCTGTCAGCTTTGGGTAAGTGGAAAGCGTGTATGGCATAATTCCACAGCCCTGAACGCAAGTACGCTGATTTCGAACAGGATCATGAGCTAGCTTGCATTGCGCTTGGTGAGGCTGCAACTGGGAGAAAACGAATCTAACTTGATAACTTTCATCATGCTGCACGTATCCAGTCCAAGTATTGGGAAACGTTTCCTCTTCGGCTTTCTAGAGACGACTAATGTAGACCCTGGTTTATGCAGTACTGGAAAAAATGCCTTATTTATCTAAGAATTTGTTGAAATTCTTATCGTGTAGTTGGATTCTATCAGTGCACTCATCGCAGCTCTTGCCAAATTTGAGGCATTGCTTAATTGTTTTGAAATAGTTCCAGGTATGCAAAGCATATACTGTATGTTTTTCACTGAGGTGCTCCAAGTTTTTCACTTTAGACTCACACTGCTGATGACTCTGCTTTCTCGTCATTTCGGTGCCATTCATGCCAGGCGATTACTTTAATACTTGTCACAACCTCTGACCGCTTATCTGTGAGAATAATATTCCATTCAGTGCGACGGCGAGTCGGTTCAAGTACAGAGAGCACACTGACCTCCGCCCAGCTGCTTGTCGACGTCAAGTAAATTTCAAAGACCATCATCTAGCATCAATGATTGCCAAATGCTCACGGGAACTTTAGTGCCATGGAAAAAGTTTCGTCATAAAAATTGTCGGGGTCCGATGACCGGAATCCACAGTCACTTGGAATTAGGAGTTACAAATGCGATGTACTTGAGAAGCGGACATCAGGCAGAAGATGAGAGACTGATTGCTTGTCGCCTCGATCCCAAAACGACAAGAACTGGATGGCGAAGCGAGTTCAGTGCACAAATTGAAGAAGCATATGAACTGTAACCGCCCTATTTATATGTACATGAACTGTATCTTTACATAATTACGAAGAGGACCAAGACAGAGTTCATCTGTCTGAGAGAATTTCCGGATTCCCCTGTTGCATGGAAGTTCAATTCAGGTTCGACCTCAGAGGCCATAATCAGCTTGTGCGATGTGTTCAATTCTTTTACGCTTCTCGACTGTGATAAAAGCAG